CGGCCAGGGGGTTCCTCGGTCTCTGGTCTCCCCATCCCTGGAGGGGCTCAAGGGCAGGTTGGAGGGGGCTTGGAGCAACGTGGTGTGGTGGGAGGTGTCCCTGCCCAGGGCAGGGGGTGGCACTGGGTGGGCTTTATGGTCCCTTCCAACCTGAACTGTTTGATGATTCTGTGACTATATGAAAGAAGATGGCTGAGGAGCTCAGTTTTTTCCTGTGGTTCAGTGAGGGGCTCCTTTGCTCCCCATGGGATGTGGGGCTGTTGGGCATGAGGGGCAGGATGGAGGGGGACAAACCTCTGCAGCCCTTGCACAGCACAGTCGGAGCAGGACCCAGGGCTGTGCCGGGGAATGACAGTGCCTTGTGGCCACTCCTCGCCCTCTTGCATCACATCCTTGAATTCTTTCCCTTTTCCCTTTATTTTCTTTCTTTTCCTCATTTCCTTTTCCTCATTTCCTTTTCCTCATTTCCTTTTCCCCTTTCCTTTTCCTCATTTCCTTTTCCCCTTTCCTTTCCCCTTTCCTTTCCCCTTTCCTTTCCCCTTTCCTTTCCCCTTTCCTTTCCCCTTCCCTTCCCTTCCCTTCCCTTCCCTTCCCCTTCCCTTTCCCCTTCCCCTTCCCCCAAAGGGCAGTTCCTCAGTGGATGGGGAAGGAGCAGTTTCTCAGGATGCTGGGGCTGGGACCGGGCTCCCTTGTTGCTGCTGGTGCCGATGCTCCCGGCCCGGCTGAGCATCCAGCTGGATGCAGGGCCGTGACCATGTCCGCACGTCACAGCAGCCTCCGCCGGGATCCCCCCTCTGCCTCTGCCCCACACCGCGGCTGCTGCCCTCAGCCCCTGGGACCGCCCCACCGCCCTCCCCGCGCTGCTCCTCTCTCGGGGGGACTCCCAGGGGTCCGGACTCTCCTTTGGTTTCCACCATCCCACCAAGGAGGTGAGAAACCACTTGAATGAGCCATAAACCAGGGCTCTGGGGCTGGTCCTGGAGGAGTGGTGGGACTGAGAACCAGAGGAGGAGAGGAGAGGAGAGGGAGAGGAGAGTCGAGTCAGATAAACCCACATCCAGCCACCTGACTGGGTAGTTTCCATAGACATTGGGGACCCCTGGACCTCAGAGGAAAGGACCCACAGGAGCTCACCCCATTCTCAGGCGCAGCATCTCTGCAGGGAGAGGAGAGGAGAGGAGAGGAGAGGAATTGAGTGGATTTCTGCCCATCTTCCTCCTCTGCCCGTTCCCTGCTGCTCTGGATCTGACGGGTTGATGGACAGAAATGAGAGGAAAGGCTTTTCTCTCCTCCTGGACTTTTACTCCCCTCTCTGCTCCCCCTGCTCCGCCATCCCGGGCTCTCTTCTGGGCTGAGAGTTTCTCCGCAGAGTTTCCCCTCTGAGCCCCGGCTCCCCAGGGAATGCCGTCACGTCTGTGATTTCATTTTGCTTTTAGCTCCTTTTCCGTTTTGCTGTCGCAGAGGCTGGATGAGCCGGGCTGTTTGGGAGGCCCCCCCCATGGTGGGGGCTGTGTTTGGCCCCTGCCAAGGCAGAGCAGCCAAACGGAGCAGCTCTGAGCGGGAGGGTACCCTCACCCCAGTGATACCCTCACCCCAGTGATACCCTCACCCCAGTGATACCCTCACCCCTGGGGACACCCTCACCCCCTGGGGATACAGCCCCCCGCCCCCCAAAGGAGTTTATACTCAGTGGCTCCAAGGCAGCAAATGAGCTCAAGCCCTCGGGCCGCAGCAGAGGAGAGGGGACCAGGCTGGGATGGCCGGAGTGGGGGGCAGCCCCCCATCCCAGAGCTCTGCCATCTCCCCTTGCCCTAGGAGCACGGAGGGAAGGGCTCCGACATCTGCCTCCCCCAGCTGGGCAGGGTGAGAGCATCACACTCCTGAGTGCAGCACCCAAGGGGCAGGGATGCTGCTCACCAGAGCACGGGAGGGTCCCTTGTCCCCAGAGCCACGGGCAGTGGGGTCTTGCCACCCCAGGGGGTGCTCAGACGAGGCATCTTGGTGCCCAGAGCGTGCATCTCAACTGGCTGAGGACTGATGCATTCATCACTGCCCGGTCCTCAGCGCTGCACGTCACCTCCGAGGGTGGAAGGTCCCCTTGGCTGCCCAGCTGGTGGGGCTGAGCTGGATGGGTTTTTCCAACTGCCCTGTGCCTGCTCTCAGTCCACCCCACTTCAGCCCATTTTACAGATTCCCCTTTGCCGGCCCCACTGTTGGGGGGTCTTTGGCAGAGGAGTCGGTGAGGGGGGTTACCCACGCGCCCACGGCTGTCCTGGCCCGTTGCTCAATGGCAGAGCGATGCCCGGGGAGGAAGGTGACTCAACCATGCAGTAAAAGACAGGTTTGGGCAGCAATTAATGTTTTATAAAAGCAAGAAATCTTGTTGCTGCCGTGACTTAAGGAGTGCGGGGCAGGGAGCGGAGGAGGAGGAGGAGGTGCCTGGAGGAAAGCAGGACAGAAGAGCTGGTTTACCAGCCCGAGGGAGGGCTACTGTCAGCCCCACCAAGCACAGGTTTCCATGCTGCTGGGCACAGCAGGAGCCCTGATTCCATGCTGACAAGCTCCAGCACCAATTACACTTAAGCTGGGAGGTGTCAAGCAGGATCAGGCTCCCAGGATGGAGAGAAACATGGAGACAAGAGGGTCAGGAAGAGGCAGGGGATTGGGGGGCAAGGTAGGAGGAGCAGAGGGACCCAGGGCACTGGGTGGGGGCATCTTTGTAGCAGAGAAGGATGTGATGGATGCTGGTGTCCTCCCAGCATCAGGCAGATGGGAAGGGATTCAAAACTGGGACAGGAAGGAGGGAGGTCAGGACCACTGTGCCCAGGGCTGGGGGCCACAGCCTGAAAGCTGGAAGAGGGACAAAGTGACACTGAGGGTGCTGGAGCGTGATGGGGCTGGGTGGTGGGCCCCATCCTGTCCCCTCATCACTGCCTTTGCCCAGCACTGGCCCATCAGGATGGAGCTGAACCACTCACCGGCATCTGTGGGGTCCCTGCACGTCCCGGTGTGTCCTTGCCCTGGGACCTGCAGTGCCACCACTTTGCACCATGGCACAAAGCTGTCCCGGGCAGAGCGGGGGCTCCTGCCTTTCCCTTCCCCAGCAGCGCCCCGGTGACGCTCAACCACTGCCACTGGCACCAGGAGGGACCCAACACCCCATGGTGGGACCCCAACATCCCATGGTGGGACCCCAACACCCTCCCATGGGACCTCATCTGCTGGGGGGGGAGCCATTTCCAGGGTGGTTTTGCAGTGAGGTCAAGGGGAAAAGCATCCCTTCCCCAGTCTCCATCCATCCCTTCCCCAGTCTCTATCCATCCCTTCTCCAGTCTCCATCCATCCCTTCTCCAGTCTCCATCCATCCCTTCTCCCCATCCATTTATCCCCTCTCCCCCTCCCCCCACCTCCCTCTCCCCGTCCACCCATCCCTTCTCCAGTCTCCAGTCT